TGCTACAATGTTATTATGTCATTATATGCCATTAAAAAGAATGTGAGTACTGGTGTGTAAAGATATCCCACTAAGATTAAAAGCAAGTTGCAGTACATTATATAGAATAAATTAATTTCTTTGTCAAGTAATATGCTAATGTACATACTGAAAAAGTATCTGGAAGAATATCAACCAAATGAATAAAGATGTGATATGTTGGAAGGACTGGGAGAAGATAGATTGTGTGTGACTTTTACTTTCTAGGCTTTCTATTTCTACAATATAAATTTTATTTTTACTATAAGCATATGTTATTTTATAAACAGAAAATACAGCACAGATAATTTAAAAGTCACAAAAAGGGAGGGATAGTTAGAATTATGTAAGAGACTGCAAAGGGTTACAAGCAAAGAAATCAAGACATATTCTATTCTCAGACTTTTTGTTTTTTCAAAATTGAAAACTCTTATGTTTTATTATATGATTAGTACTGTTTCAGCCACCTGAAATCTTTTGTGGCTGTCTATAAGAGCAATAATAAGTAATCTATTGGGAGGATATTGGTAAACTGAGAGAATCTGACTTGCAATAAGTTTAGGAGTGCATATGTGGAAGAAAATTTAGATAAGCAATACTGATAAATATGGCCAAATTTGTGGGGAAAAAAAAAAAAAGCAATGGTTATAAAATTGGCTGTGGAGGGAGGGCCATTGAAGCTTTGTGAGCGGAGCAGTGGCCTATTGATCGTCTGGTAATAATATAAGACATACAAATCAAGATCGATTTGGAGGCTATTGCAGTGGTGGTACAAGAGAACATCAGTGAGGAAAGAGCTAATACAAACAGAAGAATGGGAAAAGGGGCAGGATAAAAATCTGGATACTCAGTGCTATTCTCAGCTATTTCTGAGCAGAATGAAGCTGAAACAGACAAGGAGAGAGACACTTAAAGTAGAGAAATTAAGAGCCATGTAGTAATGAAGTGAGCTAGAAGAGAGGAGACAGAGGGGGTGTGGCAGGGGGAGCAAGAGAGTGGTGGAAAATATCTAATTAAGGAAAGGGATTTGCTTGCACTTTGTGGAAAGATAGAAGTTCTTTTGAACAGGTGTGGCTTTGTAGTTTTCTGACTATCTCCTAGCAACCCCAGCAAGACAGAACTCAAACAGCAAACTTTCAAAATGGACTACTATGGATCTAGAGGAGGACTGAGAATAAATGGGAGGAAGAAAATCAGCAAACTTATAAGAATAATTGATTTGCACCAATCCTTCTATTTCTCATTCTGGAGAAGGAGATATGAGCCGTTTATGTAATAGGTACTTATTAAAAGCTATTATATACTGGGCTCTGTTCTTTAAGGCATAAAATCCTTCTAGATCTTGGCTGAGGAAATTGTTAAGTAAATTGTCTAAGGTCAAAAAGACAGAGCCACGTCTGGAATTCGAATAGACTTGCTCCAGAGTCTGAGCACTAACCAGTACACAAAAGGCTTCTCTTAAATCAACTCAAGTTTCTGCCAGTTTTTTGTTTGTTTGTTTGTTTGTTTGTTTTTTAACCAGATACTTGTATTGCTGGACTATTTATTACTCAGGACAACATTCTCTGGTGTAGGTTATTACTTTTAGTGAAAGATGCATAGAGTCCCAGATTATAGAACAATCTAGGAGAAGACACAGGATATAAGAACTCAAGGCATACTCAAGTAATACTGTCACTGAAAAATGTGATTTCTTTAGTCTTTTAAATATTTCTTTTTCAACTGGTAATTTGCTTCTCAACATTTAACTGTATTCTATGTCTTGAAGATCAAATCTTTGGAGACAGTGAGGGAAAAACTAATCTGACCAATCCTTTCAAACACCAAGGGTCTGGAGGATTTGGTTATAGGCACTTGGGTATGAGCAGAGTGTCTGGTAAACACTCTAAAAAAGATTCCTTCCCTTATGGAGCACACAGGCCACTGGAGGCATGGCGGAGACAGGGATGATAGCTCTCTCCAAGATGGTCACCATGTTTTTTCCCTCCTTGTATGCACATGACATTGCATCATCAAGAAGTGTAGTCTACTCTATTCCCTCGAATCTGGGCAGCCCTATTAATGCTCTGACCAATAATATACGGCAGAATGATTCTATACTAGTGTTGGGCCTGAACTGTTAGAGGACTGACATCATCCTTCTTGGTGTCTCAGAGTCCTTGGCCACTGTGGAAGATGTCTGTATTAGTCTGCTTGGGCTGCCATAACAAAATACCAGACTGGGTGGCTTGAACAGCAATTTATTTTCTCAGTTTATTTTCTGGAGGCTGGAAGTCCAAGATTAAGGTGTCAGCAGGGTTGGTTTCTCCTGAGGCTTCTCTTCTTGGCTTGCAGAGAGCCACCTTCTCTCCATGTTCTCACATGACCTTTCCTGTGTGCACACTTACCCCTGGTATCTCTTCTTCTTCTTATGAGGACACCAGTCCTATTGGATTAGGGCCCCATTCTTATGACTTCATTTAACCTTAATTACCTCTATAGAAGTTCTATCTCAAAATGCAGTCACATTGGGGGTTGGAGCTTCAAAATATGAATTCTGAGAAGACACAATTCAGTCCATAACAATATTCAATTACTCCACCATGAGACTCTATAGAGGGATAGAGGGGCTCAGCTGAGCCCATCCTTTGAGCCATTCTCTGACAAAGGCATCAGGTATGTGAATGAAGAGCAGCACAATTGCCACATGGATACAGTTTGAGTTGCTAGTCAATGCCACATGGAGCCTTAACTTTGGGGGCAGTTTGTTACCTAGTATGAAATAATTAGAATAAGAAGTAGCAATAAGTTATTAAGCAAATCAATATATGACAATATATGACAAGTGCTATAAAGGAAGAGACGGGATGCTATGAAAAAGAATAAAAGTGTGGGTAGTAATGGCATCCTGAGAAATTGTCAAAGAATCAGAGTACTTTGGGCCTAAGAAAAATTACAATGCCTTTTTTATGAGCTCTGAAATCATTTCTCTTCCCTTTTTGTGCTAAATTTCAAAATGCAGATACCTCTGCTTTCCTTGGAGATGACTCACTTCCTCCAGTATCAGCCTCTCATAAAACTTAATCTTCCCAAGATTACAAAAATATTTAATATCTTCAGAGCTCACACTGGATAGTATTTAATTGACATTGAAAAAGCAATTCTCACATTGTAATTTTAAACTTATTAAGGTAAAATACACAAAAAGTGCACAAATTTTCACTACAGAGCTTAATGAATTGTTTACGTGTATGTAGCTACCATCCAGATAAAAATGAAGCATCCCAAAAGGCTCTCTCATACTTCTTCTCCATTAACACCCACCCTCTGGAGGTTGCTCAGAAGAAATCACTACTCCAAATTTCTAGAAATATTGTTTAATTTCGCCTGTTCTTGAATGTCATATAAATAGAATCATTCGGTAAGCACTTTTGGGGATCTGGCTTTTTTTACTCATCTTTGTAAGAATCTTCTTAACTATAGCAGCAATTTTGCCATCAATAGGTATTGAGTTGCCTTCAGTTCTGGTCTATTATGAATAAAGCTGCCCTGAACATTCTTATACATGTCTGTAGATGGACAAGTGCACTCATTTCTTGAAGTGGAACTGATAGATCACAAGATAGGTATGTTTAGTTTCTTAGATATTGCCAAACAATTTTCCAAAAGAATTGTCTCTTGTGTCTTTGCTTACTTTTCTGAACATTTATTTTAAATTCAACACCAACTTTTTGACACATTTTATGTTCAACCCCATGAAGCAATATTTTAGTCTATTTTCTCCCTTGGAAACATTCCTTTTGTAGTCCTCCTTCCTTCTGCTATACTCTAGACTGATTGCTTTCTAAGCAGCAGGCACCCTGGAGGTTGTCTTTACCTTTCTCCTGTGTTAGGTGCCCTATTACTGGATTTTACATCTATCTTTCTTTCTTTCTTTCTTTCTTTCTTTCTTTCTTTCTTTCTTTCTTTCTTTCTTTCTTTCTTTCTTTCTTTCTTTCTTTCTTTCTTTCTTTCTTTCTCTCTCTCTCTCTCTCTCTCTCTCTCTCTCTCTCTCTTTCTTTCTTTCTTTCTTTTCCTTCTTTCCTTCTTTCCTTCTTTCCTTCTTTCCTTCTTTCCTATTTCCTGTTTGGTGGAACAATTCCTCAGAAGCTTTCTGAGAAAATGGCATGGGAAGCAAATTTCTTTGAGAGCTTGCAAGACTAAAAATATTCACTTACATTTCTAAGTGAATATTTTGGGAGTTTGGATGGGTTTGGCTGGGTTTCAGAAATCTAGTGTGGAAATTATTTTCCTTCATATAAATGATTTGGAAGGCAATGCTTCACTTTTTTCCAGCAATCAAGTGTTGTTGAAAAGAAAGATGCCATTCTGATTCCTAATCCTAATCCTTTATATGCAAGTATTTTGTTTTCTCTCTAGCAACTTTTAGAATCTTCACTTTATCCCTAAGGTTCTGATATTTCATGATGATATGCTTTGATATGGAGCTTTTGTCACACATACAGGGCATTTGGAAGGTCTTTTAGGCTTTTTTTTTTTTTTTTTACGCTTACAGCACCTGGTATTCCTAGGTGGTCTCCCATCCAAGTACTAAACAGGCCCAACCTTGCCTAGCTTCCAAGATCAGACGAGATCAGGCACATTCAGGGTGGCATGGCCATAGACTGGAAGATCTTTCAAAATCTGGAGATTTATGGTCTTCGATTTTGGAAAACAATTTTGTGTTACGTCCTTATCTGCTTTCTTTCATTTTCTCCTTTTCTTTTCCTGAAAGCCTTGGTAGCTTGATGGCATATCTTTTACTATACACCCTTTTATTTTCTTATTGATTCTCTCCTATGTTCCATCTTCACCCCACATTTTCTAGGAGATTTCTTCAACTTTATTTTGAAATTCTTTAAAAATTTTTCTGCCATCATAATATTAATTTTAAGAACTACTCATTTCTCTTTCAGGAAGACAATATATTTTCTTACCTTACCGAGTGAGAGATGTCCCCTGATCTCCGCCCTTGAAATAATAATAAGCTGAATATCTAAAACTCAACAAATAACACCCAACCTGCTCACAAGCATGTCTGAGCGAGGAATCTGTGCATTAGAGCTTCCAGAGGAATGGATTCAGACCTGCATTGCTGAGGGCTCACCAGGCCTTCTCTTGCCCCCTCTCCATTATCTTGTTATAGGCCTTTCCAGCCAGTAACTCTCTTAGTATACCTAATCATTTCTTGGAGTCTGCATCTTGGAGTATCTGGACTAAAAGGCAGATTAAGTGGGTCTGAAACAATATTTGAGTGGGAACTTTAAGTTATTAGTACACAGAAAAATCCATGTACTTACTTGTATGGTGAAATAGAGGAAAACCAAGGGAATAATCACGAGAATGATGAGTGGTAAAACTCCCACAACGACCAAAACCATTTCGATAACATCCACTGTACAATTCACCCAGGTCCATACGTGGTAATAGAAACGCATGCCAATTATAAACATGTTCTGAAAGATTAAAAAAAAAAAAAAAAAAGTCCAACGGAGCGGGGATGAGTCTGTTTGTGGGGTTCTGGAAGTCTGGCTGCATTTTCACTCTCGCGCTTAGCCCTCTTTCAACTCCTGAGCAAGCCAGCTCCTGAATGTCACATCAGCATCCAGTCTTCACGCGCACGACTCCTAAAGGCCACTGACTTCGCCCTCTTTGGTCTATATTAACTCACCGGTTTTCTCCCCAGAGTTTCACTGGCTCGCTCACTTCTTCCCTCCTGAACTCCTGCCAATTTGGTTGGTTTGCCAGGCGTCTTAATGGGAACAGCGTCTGCGCTAAGTGTTCTTTATTGTCACGGATAAAGGGAGTTCTTTTTTGTCCAGCCACAGGAGTCGGTTCTGGGTTGTTAGGCTCCTGTAGTTCCAGTGCCCTGGGGCAGAAGGAAGGGAAAGGAGAGAAATGCCGAACTGTATCCCAGGTTGAGAGGAAAGCCTCGCGGATTTCAAAGTTCCTGACTTCAGTGAGAAAGAAGATACATTTCATTTATTGGATAAACCTTAAACTATGAGAAAATTTAATGGCTTATAGCGGGCG